ACCAAACCCTCCAGCCACTGATAGTGATCTGGAGTTGGGGTACCGGTGGGGGCTTATGGTAGCTTCTTTGTATTTAGATCTTCCTGATTTTGTTTTACATGACAGTTTTCCAAAGGTAGGGGAAGGCAGTCTACGCGCTGACCTGTGATTCAGCTCACCTGTTCCCGACTCTCATGTGTAGCTGCATGTTGATCCAGCTCATAGAGGCGTGCTTTCAGATCTGATGTGAGGGGCAATCGCAGGAAAATCTGTGGCAAGCTGTATCCCAGAAAGGCTCTCTCTCTTTGGCATGGCCAGGCGTTGAGACTTTCACAGTTCTTGGCAAGATCATGGGGGTGGTTTAGGATGGGGGGCTCTGCTAGGTACCCCTCCGAAAGCCTGGTGCATTTGTTACTGTGGCTCTTGAAACAAATCACCACCCACTTGGTGGCTTACAACAGTGTAAGTTTATGCTCTCCTAGTTCTGGAGGCCAGGAATCTGAAGCTAAGCTGTCACTAGGGTTGGATTTAGAAAGGCCCCAAAGGAAAGTCTGTCCCATGCTTCTCTACTAGCTCCTGGTGGTGGCTTTGGTATCTCTTGGCCTATCTATGTATTATTTCACCCTGTATCCTGCTCCACATCGCCTTCATGCCTGCATCTCTCTCCCCTTCTCTTCTTTAAGAAGGGTACTTGTCATTTTGGACTCACCACCATCCAAGATGATCTCATCTTGAGGTTCTTGACTAAATTTGTAAGGCCTTTCTTCCACAAGGTCCACCTTCACAGGCTTTGAATAGACAGTTCTTTTGGGGTGCCACCAGGAATCCATGAAATATGACTAATTGATAGGATCCACTGAATAGGGTTGTGCTTTCACGAAGCAGTGGGGGAGGGGAGGCATGCAGGGCCTGTCCATGGTCTCTCAGGGGTGATCCTTATTTCAAGGTGTATAACCTGTCCTTCATGAAGCCAGGCCTCTGCACAGATCTGCTATGAGTGTCAGAGACAGGGATGGAGGGAGGCTCTTTATAAACCTCAGTAGAGTTGCCTCTGGTATTGGAATTGTGTTCCGAAAATTGTAGAGGACTGTCAGAACTTACCTTGATCAAGTCTCAAACTGGATCAAGTATAAAGATCACCCAAGGAATTTATTCAAAACAGAATTTCTCATGTTTCAACCTGTATTGGTGTGCTGGGTGATCATGGCAAAATGCCACAAACCAGGTAGCTTCAGCCACAAAACACTCTAAGGGCTTTGGGTTTGGAAGACAGAACAGCCATAGGCACCTGTCAATACCAGTAAGATAACTTGACCCTGATCCCAGAGGAGAGGACCGTGGGAGACTTTGAGGCCCTGCCTTAAACAACTTTTCCATCAGTTGATGTTAATCTGAATCCTTTCCTGTAGTAAAACAGTTTTCAATGAGTTCTGGGTCCTCTAAATTATTGAAACTGAGGGTGTTTTTGAGAATCCCTGGAACTTGCTATTAATGCCAGGAGTGAGAAAAATCTAGGGGAGAACTGTGTTCTTAACCATTTCAGCTTGGCTAATGGTGGGTGTTGTGTGTTTGTGTGTGAGTATATATAGTATGGTGTGTGAGTAGATATAATGTGTGAGTATATATGAAGTTCTTATAATTAGAGCAGCCTGGGTGAGGCTATAAGTATTGGCCAGATTGAAATATCTTGACGGCCTTCCTGATGACAGTAAGGCCCTTACCATTGGCTTTTTTTATTTTTTAAAATACTATAATAATTTATTTTTACATCACTTTGTGCCTTTTTCCATCTCATTTGTAATCCCCATGGGCTTCCCATCACCAAATCACCCTTGTGCCATCACCATAGTCCAGTGCACTTCCCTCCCCCCCACTGTTTTTGATCCCATCCCCCACTCCACCCCCATAAAATGTCTCTGGTATATAGTTGTTCATTATTATTGTCCCCCGCCCCCAGTCCTTTATACTCCTGCTATGAGTGAAAACATTTGGTATTTTTCTTTTTCTTTCTGACTTATATCACTAAGCATGATCCCTTCCTGCTCCATCCATGTTGCTGCAAAAGGCATTAGTTTATCTTTTTGATTGCTGAGTAATATTCCATTGTGTATATGTACCACATCTTTTTAATCCAGTCATCTACTTTTGGGCATTTGGGCTGTTTTCATGTCTTTCCAATTGTAAATAAAGCAGCAATAAACATGGGGGTGCAGGTATCTTTTTGAATCAGTGTTTTTGTGTCTTTTGGGTAGATACTTAGGAGTGGGATTGTTGGCTCATAAGGAAGTTCCATTTTTAGCAATTTGAGAAAACCTGCACCATGTGGATCACCTCCAGGGTGAGGACTGAACTCTCACCGAAACAGCCACAGCTTGGCTTAGCTTCACAGTGCAGTGTTCCAACCTCCTGCACCACCAGAGAGGACCCCATTCATTGACTTTTTAGACCCAAACCAAACTTTGACTTAGTGATGGGTCGCCCTTTTATCCCACTGAGTTTTGTAAACAGACGCTGCCTGTTAGTTTATATTTACTTTACCTCCAACTCTGGTTAAATAGAAACAAGGTGAACTTACATCCCCCCCCCCCCAGTAAGATTTGGGACCTCATAAATCATGGTGACAAGAAATGTGATGATGATCTTTCTGTTCTTGAGAAGCTTGGAGGACAAGTATGCAGGTTCCAGCTCAGGTGTGTCATTGTTCCCACTGGTGGCACAATGAGAAGGATTCTAGTTGGCCAGCCTCTCAGTCTTAACTAGATAATTGTGTACTTGAATGTTCCTGCAATGAAAATGCAGAGACTTCCACTAGTGTCCCTCAGGAATTTAGTACCTCTGCCAGACTCCTAACGGCAGTTAGTTAACAGTGCTAGTTGACAATGAAATTTCCTTCCTATTCCTTCCAAGCAGGCAGGCATCATTTTTAAAGAAAGATTTATTATGCTTTCAGAGCTGGGGTACAGGCCAGAGGTATGGTGGGTGAGAGGACTCACCAGAGACAGAGTGTGGAGCAGAACATGAAGATCTACCATAATACACTACTGAAGAGAGCATTGGGCAGGCCAGGAGCAATCTGCTGTGCCACGTGGGTCAGCTCACTGGTCGGGGATTGAACTTGAGTTGCACTGGCTTTAGAGAGCTTCGTAATGTGTTGCGTTACCCGTTGTACCACCAGGGGGAGCCCCAGGTGGTACAGCCCCAGGTGTCCCTTGGCTTAGCATATGTATCAGTCCTTTTGCCCGTGCTTGGTGGAGTTGTGTGTGTTTTCAGATCCTGCCGGGGGCTTCTACCTGGCTGGCTGGCTTGCTCATGGGACAGTTGTTCTGCAAAGGAGAATGAAAATGCAGATTCTCTCATTACCCCACATTGAATTACATGGCAGGCAAAGGAGATTGTTATTTTCTTGTCTGATATTTGATTTTGGGTATTTACAGTCTTCAAGATAAATTACCCAGAACTTAGCTAAAAAAATATTTGAACAAGTTGTTATTTTGAAGATTTAGTGGACGGAAGGGAAGACACACACCAGGCATCGTGAACAGGTAGAGGAAGGAGAATCTACTAAATGTTTTGATTTGTGCAAATTTGATGTGCTTGAATGTTAGATATTTCATTTTCCAACAATGCTTAATTTAACCAGAACCAATCCAGGTTGGCTTAATTCCTGCCTTGAGACCACTCATAAGGTGTTTTATAAGCAAAACACTTTGCAGGCTTTACATACAAAGGTAGAAATGTTATGCTTCAATTAACCTTCCAGGAACCTTTAGTCTATGGATTATCCGTAATCAAAAAGCAAAAAATCCAAGATTTGGAAACGTCTACTTGTATTGGAACATATGAGTCTAGTGCTTTTAAGAAACCTGAAAAAAAAAAAAAGATTTATATTAAAAAAAAAAAAATGAAAGTATGGCCCTGCTTGCTGAAGCTGGAAGAGTCACTTTGTTTGAAAACAGCCCTCAGTACAATTAACAACTTATCTAATGAATAACATTTGTTTACACCTTACTTATTTAGGAATCTGTCTACATAGTAAAGCAAATCTGCCTTTTGTTTTCACACTGAGAAATGGATATAGTGTACTCCCTGGATGGGGCTTACTTATTCTGCTTTTAAAAAGGAAAGAATCAATGCAGAGATTCATACAACCTCAGAGCTTTGCAAAACTTAAAATATGAATGAGGCCAATTCACTGACCACACTAATGGAAATCAGCATAAAACTACCAGAGTGGTGCTATAATCTGGAACCCATGGGTGGGCTCTGGAACAACAATGCAATTATTTAGAATATTGTGTTTGTGCAGATGAATTTTTTTTTGGGGGGGGGTAAGATGGCCCTTAGCTTTGTCTCTGAAGGGACTGAAGCATTACTTCAAATTTTGCTTGGGAGAGAGGGGATGGCATACTATTTCTGTTGTCCACTCAGTCTAAATTATAGGCACAGCCTGAGCTGTCCTCTGACTTTTCATTTTGGAGGTTCTATTTCCAGAATTATAACACATCTCAATTTGTTCAGAGAGACATAAAGTAAGTGCTGAGTCTTCTTTAGGGATGTTATTATCACATGTTTCAATTTATCAGTGGTGTTTTGGAATATTTGGAGGTTGTACTTGGAAGCTGGGGTCTGTCTTTACTGAATCAAATTCTAGGTAGTAGACAGAGACTCTGGTATACGTGTGTACATATGTTGCTTGGGTGTGTATACATGTGCAGGAGTGTGTGAAAAGCAGTAGGTATTGAAAAGATGTGTGTTGAATAAATGAATGACTTGTTGAATAAATGTCGAAATAATTGAATATCAATAATTGCAATATTATGTAACTTGATTTCTTCAGCAAAGCCTCTTCTAGGTTAAAATAGAAAGCATGACAAGGGGATTCAGAGAAGGTTCTTCTTGTTTCTACTGTGGTTTCCTGGAAGAAAAGTTGGCCCACACTGGTCATTGGTGTTTTTTCTATGTTCTCATGAAAGCTTCGTGGAAATGACAGTTTTTTGTTTTTTTCTTCTTCTTCATTTCAGCGATCCAAGTTGATAAAGTCAACGTCAAAGTGTATTGTGCATGGTCTCTTCTGGACAACTTTGAGTGGACCCAGGGGTACAACAGCCGGTTTGGTTTATTCCATGTTGATTTTGAAGACCCGGCCAGACCTCGGGTTCCTTACAGTTCAGCCAAGGAGTATGCCAAGGTCATCCGGAACAATGGTCTAGATGGACACTAGTGAGATGATGCTGGGCAGGAACACCTGGGAAGGGGCATTTGCTTTAGGACAGGAAATGGCTTTGGGTTTCTCCAATTATCTCAAGTTGCCTTTGTAATCAACAGCTTCTATCAGCCAATGTGTGACTATGAAGTCTAAATATACAATACCTGGGGATGTATGTAATTATGATCTTTATTTGCATCAATGAAACTTTGAAAAAAGAACAGAAAATTGTGGAAGTTAATTTTTATAATAAGAAATCAGATAGGTTAATAATACATCATTTGTAAAGACAGTCTGCTTCAGATTTACCACTTGAACAATGACCACTTACAAAGATGCTTATTATAAGCCCATTATCTTCTGGCTACCCAAGCTACTGTTTGTTTAATGGATCCACTGTCATGTGGTGCATAGGTTTTCTACTTTTAATTCCAGTGTAAAAAAAAAAAAACAGAATTAAAAGTTAGTCATACGATCTAGTTATGCATTCTAGTTTACAAAGCGATTGGTTGATAAATTCTCTAATAAATGCATTTGCTGATATGTTTGCTATGTTCTGTATGTATGCACAGACAAGTGCATATTTCTCTTACTTGATGAACTTGAAAAATAAATAAAACAAATTAGACTGTGACTACCAGACACAGTATTTGAGTGTTGATTAGCAAAATGACACCGAATGAAATGCTAAATAAGAAGGAGGGTATGGTCTCTACTTCTGGGTATCTTTTTTCATATTTAAATTCCATATGAACATTAATTGATATTTATGAAATAAATGTGAGTTAATGACCCCATGAGTGTAGGCAAAGGAGGAGGTGGGGGAATTCAACATTTGTCTCTGTGTCTGGGATCCTGCAAGGCTTTCACAGATGTGGAGTTTGGGTCTGCACAAGCATATTAACTCAAAACTGCATTTATCCAACATTCATTTGTGCAGCAAGCTTGAAGCCAAGTGGTAAGTTTTATCATCCCCATTGTGCAGACTGAGAAACTGAGGCCACACTGATGCTCCTCTTCCTCAGATCTCATCATTACTTGCTCAATGGACCCCCCACTTGTTGGGCATCGACTCTATTCTCAGTCCTGCACACAAAGGTTGGGGTACCCTAGGAGTCTCCTTTGAGTTTTTTAAATAGAAGGAAAAAAAAAACAGCATAGATGTGGATTTGCTTGTGCAGGAGGAAGTGGCAATGTGTTTTTCTCTGTATTCTCATACTGTTTCCTTGTGGAACGGGCACATACTTTGCCATTCTCAAAATGAACAGATGCTATGCCATTATTTTAAAGGTGGTCAGTTTCAGATCATTTTCCTATTCATGGAATTATTTACAGGCAGGACCATTCTAAGTAACTTTGAACAGAGTGAGAAAGAAATGGTCATGGTAGTGCAATAACGGTGGCCATACCCTGAGAAATTATATTAAGATTAAAATGGTGTACATAGGAAATTCCATTACATCTTTGCCACTGGTTGGTTATTTTTATTGTTCTAAGAGACATTATCTCACAATTTGTGTTCATTTAAAAAAGCACATTTCCAAATCTTATTTCATTCCTCTCCTATCCAACCTGTCTCTTTCATTTTTACCATTTATCTTATTTACAATTTATGTGTTCTCTTATATTATCTTGCAAGACGACTGAGCTTTCCTTTTAATTAGGATGTTGCTTTGAATATTACTTATCCTTCAGGGCATATTTACAAGTTTTACAACAATACAAATGAGCACTATATTTTCGTTACCAAAACCAGAAAATTAATATTCGTGCAGTAAATAAAATGATCTGTCACATTTGGTCTACCAGGTGAAATAAACCTGGCTGCGGCTTCTGAGCTCCCTCACAGTGCTGTGGCCTCCTCTGCTCTCTGCTGGATTTTAAAGGCCAGCTGCTCATCCCAGAGATGGATCAAGTGGAGGGTGCTTCCCTAATTAGTCCTGTAAATTAGAAAATTGCCAAGAGGCTAAGGTGAGGGAAAAAAAATTCCATCAGCCAAAACCTAACAGCCCCTGTAGTATTTTAATGAATGTTATTTTTAATTGCTTGTATTAGCATCTGAGAACAAGATTGATAGGCTTTTGCTTGTCAAGGAAACCGAATTTGAATTCTTTAAGTAGAAAAACAGAGTTGTTAATTATACTTAAAAATCCATAGATACTGTACTTTGATGTCTTGAAGGTCATCTGAGGCTTGTAAAACACATGCTTTATGTCTGTTTTATCTAAAAAGAAACTTGGATATCACAATGATGGATTGGCTCTACATGTATTTCTCTCCTTTTCCCTCTTTGCCTTGCCTTGCTGTTTAAAAATAGTAATAATAATGGGAATTGAATACACAAAGTTAATATCGTGGGGATCCCTTTTAAAGAATTGGGTTTTGGGGGGTTAGTTTTGCTTTAGGGCAAGTTATTTGTGAATTGCTAAAACATGTAGAAAATAACCACAGTCTGTTTCATTTTGATGTGTAAGCCTTTGCTTTTACAACTCCTGTGAGCATCACCAGGAACTGTCCACATAAGCCCTTATTGAATGAGAAGGTACGAGTTCTCATTAAGAAACCTGTAAACTAAGAAGCTGGCAACCTTGGTATTTGGCAGTGGAGTGCCAGGCAGGCTTTTGTGCTCTGGGAATTTGTGTTCAGCCTGTAGCTTTTAATTATTTTTATGAACGAGGGAATAATGAATACATTTGTAATATATTGAAAAATTGCCCAACACTCACTGACCAAAAAGTAGATTTATATGATAATCCTTAAACACTGATTCTATTGCTCAGTGCTCAGCAGAAAGAAAATAGAATACTAAGCTTCATTACTGAGAAAGCAGAATAAATCAAAGCTGATGGAATTAATACTGTTTAATTACTAGCAATGCAGCTTACCTGAAGAACACATATTCATCACTGATCACAATAGTTTAGACTCGAGCTATCCTGGGAGTGATGTCATACTGAGCACAAAGCATAATGAAGCTTAGAAAATGAAATTAGAAGAAAATTAAAAGAAATTTTGACACTAGAGACACTTTGTGGTGGCCTTTAGAATTATGGTATAAGATAGTATGAAGAATTAACCTTATTAATCGTGACCTCAGGTGAGTTGGGGGATGGGATAGAATTGCCCAGTTAGGGTCATGAAAGAAAGAGGTTCCCAATGGTGAGAATTTCAGAGCATTCTTTTTTCTTTTTTAATTGAGATGATATTGATTTCCATTCACTGGGGACAGCTTCACACACAATAATATATGTAGCACATTGTGACAATAACAAAGGTCCAGTTACCACCCCCGTCCATAGACCTCTTCCTCTACTAACCACCACCATTTTGTTGTCAGTGTCTAAGGGTCTGTATTTGTTCATTTATTTTGTTTTATTATATTACACATGAGTATATTACACATTATATTACATGAGTAAGATCATGTAATACTTGGCGTTCTCTTTCTGAATTACTTCATTTAGCACAGTCACCTCTCCATCCAGCTATGTTGTCACAAATGGAGAGATTTCATCTTTTTTATAACCGAGTAGTATTCCAATGTGTACATATTCCACTCTTCATTCACTTATCCCTGGATGGGCATTTAGGATGGTTCCATCACTTGGCTATTGGGACTAGTGCTGCCATGTATTTTGTTCATTTAATGTTTTCACACCCTTTGGGTAGATTTCTAAAAGTGGAAGTACTGCTGTTTATGGTAGAACTGAATTTAATGTTCTTGAGGAAACCTGATTTACGGTTCTCCATAGTGGCTGTACCAACTGGCTTTTTCAACTACAGTGTAGGAGTGTCCTTACGGAGAGGAGCATTTCTTTAGAGTATAGGGTCTATTGTATCAGGTTTTCCCAGTGTCTGTAAATATCACCTGACTCGTAATTGACTTAAGTGTCCTCCTATTTGTGGCCAATCTAGTGTAATCAATATGAATATGGATGCTAGAGACAATTTAACTGGATTTAAATCCTTGTTCTGATATTTACTAGCCACGTGATAGAAAGCAACTTAACTGAATTTCCTTACCTCTACATTCAGCCTAAGCTACTTTATTTTTGAATCTTGTCTTCTGATAAACTAGTTCCTCTTTCAAGCAATGACATAGGTCAAGCAAAATTATGCCCATGATTATCAAGTCCTCAGTTGAGTAGAAATGGTGGTTAAGCTCATGGAGAGTGTCAGCTAAACCCAGCTTGATGCAACTTCAGTCTTTCTGGAGTGCAGTTGAGTCCTATTTCTGATTCCTTACCCCACTCTGTAAAGTGAGACTTAAAATAAAGCTGACAATTTGCAGGCTATTTATAGCTTGTGATGAGAATTAAATGAGATGATATATGGTGAACAAGTTAGAATACTATTCACTAGAGTGTAATTACAATGTCTATTAAGTGTTAGCTATTATCATTATTTTCTTGTTAATACTAAGTCAAAGCCTCTATTTCAGACAATCAATGCTTATTACATGCCTACCTTGTTTCCTTATTCAGCCTTACCTGTGAATAGTTGTGCATTTGGTGATGGCATGCATAGGCGTGGTCAAGTAAAAGACTCATCTTGCCTTGGAGACTTATCTCTCCCTGGCCCAGAGTGCCAAGCCTGTGCCCCCAGCCTCTGTTACTCATCCAGCTGCGCCCAGTCAGGGGCTAAAGAGCTGCCTCCTGAGAGAGTGACTGCCTTTCCACAGATGCTTTCTGTTGAATGATCGTTTAGGATGGGCCTGGCTTCCAGTATGAAGCTGGGGTGGGTTCTGTGCACATTTGTGGGCTCAGGTTCCATGTCATGAAGAGCTGATAACATTCTATTTACAACTTGCATAACAACACAGAAGACAGGTAGAGAAATCCCACCGTGTTTTCGAGTCCCTCATAAGCATATTTCCTTCTTTTTTGTCCCTCTAAATGCAAAATGTGGTACTTATTACTTTAATAGACTGTGAACTGTTTTGTGTGCAAGAAAGAACTAGGAACTAGGGTTTGGCTGAGAATAAAATTTTTTCTCTTCCCTAGGTTTCATTTTTA